CGCTGCTCGCCGACAGGAAGAGAAAGAGAGAGATAAGGGAGAGAGAGGGGGAGGAAGAAAGGTTGGGAAGAGAATGACATGTGGACCCCACATGTCAGTGGATCCTATTATAATTTTTGTGTGTGAATGACAAATGGGTCCCACATGTATATTTTTAAATCTAATCTTACATCAGTGCCACGTGGGATGAAGACCAAGTCAACACCGCCACATCAGCGCCACGTCTGCAAAACTGCTCTCCAAAACCACCGAGTGAGTCAATTTATACCGGTTTTAATAATTGGGGGAGTCGTCCTAACCGGTTTTCTAGTTGAGAGGTGCGAATTAGATTCAGTGTATATTTAAGGGAGTCAAAGTGAACTTTTTCCTTCTTTGGAAGGTTACAGGCCCAGACACCCGTTTCGGACATCAGCTTGGGCCATCACCTCCCTAGTCAATGTGCAGCTCAGCATGGCCCAGGCGCCCAGCTGCCTTGCGGGCACAAGCACGCGCGCGCGGAGGCAACTCGTACGACGCATTGGCTGGTGTGAATCAAATCCAGGAATCCGGAAGTGCCACGTGTCGGGGCTAACCGTTCGAGAAGTCGCCCTGAATTCGGTATAAGAGATTCGCGTCCGTTTTTTATCTGCCTCTGCATCCAATGGTTTGTTTTGTTTTACTGTTATATCATCCAACGGCCTATATTTTTGTGATGACGTGGATCATCCTGGTTATGTTGTGGGATTAACTTTTCACTTGGTAAGATTTTGTGTTGCCGACCGATTCGGTTCCCTCGCCTCTATCTGCTTCGGATTCGGATTCGGATTCCTTTCCCCTTGCAAACAAAAAATGAAATCCAGAGCTTTGATCTGGATGAGCAAGATCAATCTCCTCCCCTCTCTCAAGCCATGGATGCAGCGGCGGCGGCCATGGTGCTGCTCGACCGCAGCGTCCGCTTCATCGACGAGGTGGCCGACGTGATGAAGGAGCGCGGGATTTCTCACCTGGACGGCGACGCGGCGATCTCGGCGGCGTGCGCCGGGATCACGGACTGGGAAGAGAGGAAGGCGTCTGAGGAGAGGGCCATCGAGGCGGAGTCCTTGCACTACCGCGCCGAGAGGGACGCCGCGGCGGAGGCCGTCATCCGCCGCCGCAAGGCCGGCGGCGGCGGCGTCACGAAGATGTCTTTCCTCTCTCCCGGCGATCTCTTCGAACGCGACGGGGACATCCTTGAAGGCATCGACCCGGACCCTCCGGTCGTCGCCGACGTCCCCGGCGTGTCCTCCCTCGTGTTCCGCCTCTCGTCGGCGCGGACGCCCGCAGATTTTGAGCGCGCCACCTACGTCGCCGGCGCCGACCACAACGTCGTCGTCGTCGGCGCCGGCCATGGTCACCGGTTCTACCTTGTCTACGACGCCTGGGCCAACTCGCTCTCCACCAAGTCGACGGAGGCTCGACATCATCGTTACGGTGGAGCGCGGCTACCGGAGGAGCGCCGGTCCATGTGCAGCGGCGGCGACGGCGTCATTAGGTTCGTCTCCATCGACGACGGCGAGCATCCGAACGATCTGACACTCACCACATGGTCCCTGACGATGGCGCCCGAGCTCAAGCAGTGGAAGCAAGAAGCGGCACTGGTGGACAAACCCTTTTTAGTCCCGGTTCATAACCCCCTTATAGTCCCGGTTATGCAACTGGGACTACGAATCCAGGACTAAAAATACACATTTTTTGTCCCGATTGAAATAATCGGGACTAAAAAAGATCTTTAGTCCCGGTTTTAGTTACTAACCGGGACTAAAGATTTAATCCCGGTTATAGTTACCAACCGGGACTAATGTTCTTTTTTTCTTTTTCTTTTACTGCTGCTTGCATGATTTCGAGCCCCACAAATCATTCATATTATCCACAAATCATTCCAACACCACAGATCATTCACAAAATCCCCAAATACATCAAGCTGCATTTTCTATCTCCAAATACATCACAAATCATTCACAAAATCACAAAATCATCCCTACAAATTCATTCACACATCACACAGATCAGGAAAAGAAATCACATCGCACAGATCGGCCGCACAAATCAGAAAAAGAAATCCACATCGCCCAGATCGGCCGCACACATCGTACAGATCAGGAAAAAAAAACCACATCACAGAGATCGGGTGCCGGCCGTCCGCCGCCTCGCCGGCCTCCGGCCCGGCCGCCTGGGGAGCATCGCCGCCCGCCGCCTCGGCGGCCGGTGCCCGCCCGCTGCCACCTCGGGCTCTGCCGCCCGCCCGGGGAGCGCCGCCGCCTCGCTAGCCACCTGCTCAACCGCCCGCCGCCGGCCTCGTCGCCCACCCGCCTCGCCTGCCTCGCGGGCCGCTGCCTCGGCCGGTCGCCTGCCCGGCCGCCCGCCGCTCCGCACCCTCCCTACTGCCGTGCGCCGCCCGGCCTCACGTGGGAGGAGGAGGAGGAGGAGGAGGAGGAGGAAGAGAAGAGAAGGGAGAGGAATGTGAGAGGAGAAGGGATGGAGGAGGATAAGGATGGAGAAGGGATTAATGAGAGGGGAGGGGAAAGAAAGGGGGAGAGACCGAGGCGGCCGGGCGGGGCAGTGGCGCCAGCTCGGTTGATTTTTTTTTTGTCCCGGTTGGTATAAACAACCGGGACTAAAGATCTATCTTACAACCGAGACTAAAAAAGAATTGGGGTCTAACTCGGTCCGATAACTTTTTGAGCCGGGACTAAAAATGATCTTTAGTCCTGGTTGGTGTTACCAATCGGGGCTAGATCAAAAAAATTTTAACCGGGACTAAAAATAATCTTTAGTCCCAGTTCATATTCAAACCGGGACTACTGTGTATTTTAGGCGACTGAGTAAAGATGGTTTCTCCACCAGTGCGGCGTTCTCCATCGGAGACCTCGTCTACTCAGATGAGCTGATCAAGAAGACGCCGCCGCAGCAGCTGCCGCCGCTGAAGGCGCCGACATCGCCGGTGCATAGCATCGTCGACGACGAAGTCGTGTTATCTGGCCGAGGTTAAGTCGATTCATCCTACTAGTATAAACATGGAGCGTCACATGGTCAGCGTCAACGTGAGGAGGAGAGAGGTTTTCGCGATCTTCGAGTATCCTTCAGATAGATTACCTCCTCCTCCCCTTCCTCCTCGCATCATTCCGAGCAATCTGAGTTTTTATTTAAACAAAACATTATGATCAACAACCTGATTGCTAGCATCACCGTCCAAGTAGCTAGAGCTGCTAGATTTTACTTCTGTAGCATCGAAAGTTAATTGTCCTTACACTTTAATCTGCACACTAATAAGACCCTATTTAGATGGGACTAAAACTTTTAAGCCCCTATCACATCGGATGTTTGGACACTAATTATAAATATTAAACGTAGACTATTAATAAAACATATCCATAACCTTGGACTAATTTGCGAGACGAATCTATTGAGCCTAATTAATCCATGATTAGCATATGTGATGCTACAGTAAACATTCTCTAATTATGGATTAATTAGGCTTAAAAGATTTGTCTCACAAATTAGCTTTCATTTATATAATTAGTTTTGTAAGTAATCTATATTTAATACTCTAAATTAGTGTCTAGATACATGGACTAAAGTTAAGTCCATGAATCCAAACACCACCTAAGGCTAGATTTTAGTTCTGTAGCATCGAAAGTTATTGTGCTTATACTTTAATTTGCACACAAATAAGGCGGCCGCTGCCTTGTTTTTATTCGTCCACCTAATACAAGTGGAAATGAATACTCTCTGTATTTTTAACTAATGAACGTCATAAAAAATTAAAATGACGCACGTAAAAAATGGTACAACTGTCTTAATTTTCTATAACTGCCGGCTGATCAAATCAAGTGATTGAGTTTTTTGTTTGTAAAAGTTTTATTACAATTTTTTGCTAATATGTATAGCACTGTTGAAAAAGAATGGAGGAGATCAATACTAGTACGAGATAGTAACATTGAGCTAAGGGGTCTCACTCGGAAGAGAGATACAAGGGGTCGATGATGACTGAGGAGCATCTCGCCGATTTATAAAGTGGTTGTTTGGAACTCTATTAGATTGTAGAAAAAAACATTTCGATTCTACTAAATGATGTGAGGATACATATACTTAGAAATACCCATTTAATATATATTATGATAGGTGACTATGAGGTTTATATTCTAACTGAACATGTAAGGACACTATGATAGGTTTTTGAATTTAGCTCTCCAAAACGCTGGTAATAAGTACGGAGTAGATACCTCCACTGGGTAATTATGCATAATTCAGGTATGTATAGCACCTAATTAACATTCTCTCTGAAGAAAATTTCAGTTAATACCATCTGAATAGATTTCTACCATGGTCGGTGGTATACTGGTATGACGACATAGGCAATCGATTCTGCGATTGTTGATCACCTCGAATATAGGGTACAGTACGAAAGAGGGAACTATTTAGATGATTCAAAGCGATTTGAAAAGACCAGAGGCGTTGCAGCATTAGAAATTCAAAGTTCAAGATGAAGATTAACTAAAAGTGAAGATTCGAAAAAATAAAGAAAAAAATTCAAAACGAATTTATTTGAAAAGACCAGAGGGGATGCTGCATTGGATATTAAAAGTTCAAGATGAAGATTAACTATAAGTGAAGATTTGACAAAATAAAGAACAAAATTCAATAACGAAATGTAAAAAATGCTTTCGTTGAGAGTCGAACTCAAGACCTCCCGCTTACTAAACGGGTGCTCTAACCAACTGAGCTACGAAAGCTTTTCGGTTTCCACAAAAAAAAAGTAAATCTCAAGTCCAATATTCCATTCACAGTGAATGAAGAATATAACATCCACGATAATCTTCCATGTAGGACGTATAAACTCGACATATTCGTTTCCCGCAAGTTCATGACGAAAGCCTAACAAGAAACAAGAGCAGAGAAGATACGGAGAAATGTTTGGCAGCAAAATTTGCCCGAAATGCCCTCTCTGGCACATATGAGCGAATTTCATTTGCGTGGTGAAACCCTGAAATCGAATGCAGTTAATGGATGAACAGAACGGATATACTGAAGTCACGCTTCAGAGTTCAGATCTTATTCACGTAGAAGAAACGAGTAATTCACATGAACGCCCGCAACGCGTTCAGATTTCAGATTTCACAGACGTGTTCGTGCGCGCGCGCCACCGTCCACTACGCGGCCGATGGCGCCGGCGACGTGGAGTCGGCGGCGGCGGCGGCGGCCTCGGCGTCGCAGAGGCCGCGGAGGACGTCGGCCTCCTCGGCGGTGAACCCGACGGCGGCGAGCATGGCCGGCCAGCAGTCGCGCGTCGCGGCGCGCACGGCGCGGCAGCACCCGGCGCCGAGCTGCGTCGTCTCGCCGTTGAGGAAGAAGAGCACGATCTCGTCCGTGCACGACCGGAGCTCCGCCACCGCGCTCCAGCACTCCACCAGCCCTCCGCCGCCGCCGTCAAGCCGGCCGCCGAGGGGTACTGCAGGCGAGAAGGCCGCGGCGCCGGCGTTGACGCGCGCGGCGTCGGCAACGGCAACGGCGGCGAGGGCCTGAGCGCTGACCACGACGAGGACGACGGCGACGCTCAGCAAGGACGCCATTGCTGAATGCTGTGCGATGTATGTTAAGTGGACACGATTAACTCCTGCTAATTGCTCACACTTATATAGGATAATATGTTAAGTACGTACTTAGTGGTAACGTAAGCTCGCGGGGGACGTAATTAATCGAATCATTAGCTGACGGCGCGCATGCAGAACGGTGGAGGCAAAGGGATTAGATTAACGGATCGTTAATTAAGATGAGCAGATCACATGCTCCTGGTACTGGTACTAGTAGTGGAACTTCAACGAGTTATGAGTTAATTATTGATTAGTGCGCTTCAATTAGTATTAGCACATTGCAAAAGAGTAACGGCAACACTTATGATGCATCTATAAATTTAGATTCACATACAAGAATGAATCATGCATGTATGATCGATTGCTTATCAAATGGTTCAGGATACTGACAAATATGCAATTGCAGCAGTCAGGAGTCAGGTAACTCGAGATAGCGTACATTATTCTTGCAACCTGAAAGGTGCACCAAGATATAGAGTGCGACATAGACATGGTTACTCTCAGAGTAACAAACAAAGGAATGCTTGCACCACACAGCCACAATCCATAAATACCATTCTGTTCGAAATACTTGAATTAGAGTACATAAGAAAAACCCAACACCACGTCAATGATTGAGTCTAGAAAGAAGGAAAAAGATCATCATGCGGATGATTTCTGAGTCAGTTCCTTCTTGGAACAATAAAACAGCCAAAACACACACGGCCACTTCGTCACTGCACAGCAGAGTAGCACACACAGTGGAAACAAACACCATATCGTGTTACATTTCCTATCTGTTGTCAGATATATATATGCTCCTATTCTTCAACTCGACGTTGAACCTAAATGCTTACCAAGAACAGCAATGTACCATCGGTTGCTGCCTCAGTGGCCCTCAGGCCTTCTGCCAATCGGCTGCAGCGGTCGCCTTGATGAGTTCTTCGCGACAGAGCGATCAGGGTTCGGCTTCACAGGCCGGTCTGTTTTGATGGCAAGCGTGTTCTCCCTGTTCCTGAGAAGGGCAATTGCAGATTCACTCAGGTTGTCGACTTGCTTCGTGCTAGGGGCGTTCATAGCAATGTGGCTTGGTTTAACAGTGCTGGAAATTTTGAAGCTCAGAAGCTTGGTGCTGATTTCATCTATGCGCCTTCGCCCGCTAGTTTGGCACAAAACTGGTGTGTGAATGAGAAGTGGAGTCAGGACAAATATGGACAATGGAAATGTTCAGTTGAGAAATTAATTCAAATCACTGTGCGAAAACAAAGAGATCAATACTGACCTGCTGATCTTGGAACGCTGTCATCCTGATGAATGGCACGCTCTTCAGGAGATTTAGGTGCAGATATATCTTCTGGAACTGGAAGCGACTTTCCAGGGCAAGATTCGGTATGAACACTGATGTCTTCCTGACAAATTGCAGATTCCTTGAGAGATACGGGAGCAGATACGTCATTTGGAAGCTCCTGCTCATGTTGATTATTACTCGCCACAGGTTCAGTACTAAACATGTCAGCAGTGTCTTCATCACAGCTATCGTTGTGTCCTCCAACGCTCACCAGGTTAGGGTTATTATGCTGCCCGAATTTAAATACCAACATTTCTGCAGGAGACACCAGCGTAGTTTCCTGTTCGGCTCTTTCAGTTGGTGAAGGTTCAAACATGTCACCTGCAGGCATGCATTGAATTGGTTGATTTTCATTATTCTCAATTTTGTAAGGTACTCCCTCCGTCCCATAATATAAGGGATTTTGGGTCGATGCGTCACATACACCAAAATCCCTTATATTATGGGAGAGAGGGAGTATTATGCAATTATCCCAAGTCATTGAGTAATTCAACTAAAGAATTAGAACCCGGTTGTACTTTCAGCACAAAACAAGACAGAGTTCTATTAACACCAGAACCAAGCTGAGTTGAGCGCACATATTATGACAACGATAGCTAGACAACATGCTAGTACAAAAATCTGACAAGTAAAGCTGTAAAAACCCTCCCAAGATGTTCATGGGGTCATGCCAATAGAAAGTGGATGCTGGAAATATATTAAGCATTGAAAAGGTGTGCACTGAGCAATGGAAAAACACAATTTAAAGATTAACTTCTTGCTCAAATCCTGCATGAAAGTAAGAGACAAGAACAAGTAATGAACATTACTGACCTACTGATCCTGAAACGCTGTCATCCTGGTAATCTTCAGGAGATTTGGGTCCAGGCATATCTTCTAGAATCGCCTGCCCATTGCATGAATCCATACAGGCACTGCAAGGTTCTACTAGAGATTTTGGAGCAGAAAGGTCATTGAGAAGCTCCTGCTCATGGTAACTGTCATCCACAGATCTGTTATCAAAAATGTTCCCAGTGTCTTTACCACCGCTAAGGTTGTGCTCTCCATCCAGCTTAGAGTTAAGCTGCACGGCTGTAAACACTGACAATTTTGCATCTGGCAACAGAGTAATTCCACCTTCTGATCCCTTAGTTGATGCAGCTCCACTCAAGTCAAATGTTGGAATGCATGGCGTCACTTGATCTGCCTTGTGCTCGTTTTCTTCTTTACAGTCCACTTGACACCTCTGCTCATTTGTTTCACAAGATCCTGGGATAAAAGATCTCTGAATTATTAGGCAATTCACATAGCAAATCTTGCTAGGCAGTAGACAAGACTACATGTCCACAAAAAATCTAAATATATCTTATAGAAACACTGACCTACAACACTCTCGCCCTCAGAAAAGGCAGATTCTTCACGAGCCTTGGTAGCAGATTGGTCATTTGGAAGTTCCATTTCCTGGCAAGAATCTATCTGACCATCTGCAGGAAAACGGAATATACTATACCTCATAAATTCAGTATCTGAAGAGTCCTCGGTGTCTTTAAAGCCGCTAAGGTCGTGCTCTGCAAGTTCATCACATCCTGGCTGAGGGTTAAGCTTTTCATCTAGCAATTCTGACGTTTCTGCAGCTTCTAGCAACATTGTTTCATTTTCTGAAAATTTAATTGATACAGCTTCAGAAAAGGGACTTGAAGGGATGCCTGGGAGGATTTGATCATTGCGTTCACTGCATAGCACTTCATGATCATGATGGAACACATCTGGTAATTCCAACTGTGAAGGGTTAGAACTTGGATGTGCATCATCAAAAATTTGGCTGCTTCGAGGATCGCAAATCTGAGGTCTACTAAAAGGAGAAGCATGTGTAGCTGCAACAGGAGAAGTGTGTATTGTTAGTTATAGGGACAGATTACAGATAGAAACCTGCTACAGCAATCCAACAAGTAAAAGACGGATGTTAACAAAGCTTTCTTCTATATGTACTGTAAAAACAGAGCAATGAAGCTGTGGGCCTGGGGCTTACAAAGTTCACTGCCATGTGATTCCCTGACGGGGGTATCAATATCTGAAGACATGACCTCTATTTTCTCTTCCTTCTCACAAACCAACTCGGAAGAAATAATCTCCCTGTAAAGAAACATCCCATGTTTAAAGAGTAGTCACATACTATTTATGGTATATGTTCGTTTACTTTTTAAAAATAGAAAATACAAATTACCTTTCTGTCTGATTCACATCATCTGCTAAATCTAACTGGATAGGCGCAACCCATCTTTTTTTGTGGCTGGCCTCCGAAAACTCTAAAAAAAATGCAATATGATTCAGTTCTTGTCTTGCACAGATAATATGGAAATATTAAGAACAGGGCAATAAAAGATAAATGAAGGTACCTTCTTGCTCATTAACTTGCTGGCATGACGAAACACAACTGCCGATCTCTTTGACGATCCCTAAATTTTCATGGGAACCTTCGCATCGAACAGGTTCTGCAGAAACAGGTTTTTCAACTCGGCATTTACCATGTGAACTATTTGATTCATCCACTTTGTTTTCAGCACATGGAAAGCCAGCATTGTCCTGTTGTCTGGACCCATCCATGTTTTCCTCTGAGAACAGCGACTGTAGACCAAAAGGCGAGTGCTTGGAATTTGGTGTTTCAGCACCATTCTTCAGCGAAAACTCCAATAAAGTTCCTTGAAGTTTACAATCTGGAGTTGCTAAATTGATGGCTGGCTTCTCAATTATACCTGGCACATTAACCAAATAAGTATTGATAGTACAAGAAGGCAAGAAAAGGAGATAATATCAGAATGTATAGATAGTACTGAGTTACTGACCCTCGATTCTAAAAACACTGTTCCCTAAGTACATATCAGATGCTTCGAGAGATTTGTCCACTGGAATGTCATTCAAACCCTCATGTTGCTGGTAATGATCCATAGGACAATCTTGTGGTAAACTATGGTCACATGGATTTCCTTTATCAACAACATTCACAGTCCCTAACTCCAAAATGTTAGTACTTTTTTCAGCACAGCTAATGCCAGATTGGCCAACTTGTGTGCTCTCTAGCTCAGAGTTATGCTGGTCATCTTGCAAATTCAATGTTTCATTAGCAGGGAGCAATGTCAATCCACTTTCTAAACCATTAGCAGTGGCAGGTACAGAAATATCAATTGTACTGACTCCTGAAGGAACTTGGTCTTCCATGCGCTTATTGCATTTCTCATTGGGGCCCAGATGCACTCCCATATTGAAAAACAATGTTGGTTCATCCAAGCAATCAGTTGATTCTAGCTGGGATATGTTAGAACTGACATGTACATCATTGTCATTGGCAGGGACTATCACTGAGCTGCTCAGAAGAGCATCACTATTACCCTTAGCATCCTTAGCTGCAAGAAGCGGTAAAAATTAGTCACTGCGAACAAATATAAGAGTAAACTATTGATATGTTCTAAAAAGATACTACCTTTGTCCCATAATATGGCAATCTAGTACCAGGTGAGACATATCCTAGTACTACAAATCTGGACAGCTAGGATGTATCCCATCTAGTACTAGGTTGCTATATTATGGGAAGGAGAGAGTAACACATCTCCTAATGTGTAAACAAAAAAATATGGCATTTATTGTCATTCCTAATCAGAGTAATTGAACAATGTTAACAAAAGGACTTACAAGATCCATTATCATCTGATTTTTCACAGAGAGTACTAATATCAGTAGAATGTACACGATTGCAGACTTCACCCTCATAACCAATTCCCTGACAATTAGTCGTCCTGTAAATTGCAATTTCATCCCGAAAAAAATCAGCCAAAAGTTATTTTCATAATATATGCACTTTCAGTGGTTCCAGGGAAGAAAATGCACTCACTCCGTGCAATTTGCATCCTTGAATAAACCTAACTGACCACATTCAACCTGCTCTTCGCAGCTTGCCTTTGATGACTCTAAAAATGTATCATTCAGTTCACATAGGCATGGGTCAAACATATGAACACATCAGGATATATTTGTACAAGGAAATTATAAAAGAATAATTAGTCAACAAGTGTAATCTCACCTTCATTTCCATTACCCTCTCCACTTTTAGTAACTAAAATAGAATCTACGTGAGCGCCATGATCTTCAACTGGTTCTAGTACAGGAGTTTGGTCATCAATATTTGATTCATCAACTCCGTTTTCTGAATGCACTCCTGCAAAAGCAAGTGAAACATATCCCATAGTTTCATCCATGCTTTCTTGCAAAGACATGGACTGTGGACTAGATGATGATTGTTCAGCAGTGGGTGAGCCTCTCTTATTCTCCACTGAGTGCATTACTACTTCGTTGACTAAAGCTTGTTGATGTTTACAATCTGGTATTGCTGAACCTGGCGAAGGCTTCTCAAATTTACCTGGCACATATTTATGCATTCCTTAAACAACATACAGCCTAATAGTACAACCGAACAAATCACTATTTGAAGATTATATGATGGTCCCTTACCTTCTTCTGCATCACCCTGCTGAACTGGTTCCAGAGCTAGCTTATTTTCAGGGCTATCTGAAACAAGCCCCACATCCATTTCTGTATGGATACCATCTGATTCCATATGAAGGCCCACAATTATGTTATCTAAATCTTTTTTGCCATCAGTTTCAGCAGCAACAAATGCACCATTTGTTACATTACTTCCTCCGCGCTCTTGTGCATAAAGTGATCTTTGCCCAATCGAGGGATTTCTTCCATATGATGAGCAGGCACCAATGTCATTCAAGGGTGACAGCATAATTTTATCATAAGCAACACCTGCATGAAGATGGTAACATCAAAAGAAGCTACAGCTATCAACAAGAATCCCTACTATGGTAAATTCATAATTTCATGTACAATACCTTGCTCCACATCAAGTGCATTGTCACCTTCTCCAATAAGTTGTGCAGCAGCATCTTCCAGATCACAATCCACTCTCGTGTAGAAAGTAGAAGTTTTGAAGCCAATGGACTTGTTTCCACTGTCAACTTTTACAGCAATATTCTCATCATGTATAAAATTGCATTGTTGATTACTCTCTTCTACAAAGAGAGAATTCAGACCAAATGAAGAATGCCTTCCATCTGACGAATTGCTTCCGCTGTTAACTTTTACAGCAATATTCTCATCATCTACCAAATTGCATTGTTGATTACCCTCTTCTGCAAAGAGAGACTTCAGACCAAATGAAGAATGCCTTACATCTGACGACTTGCTTCCACTATCAACTTTTGCAGCAATATGCTGAACATCTATCAAATTGTGTTGTTGATTGCCCTCTTCTGCAAAGAGAGACTTCAGACCAAGTGAAGAATGCCTTTCGTCTGACAACTTGTTTCCACTGTCAACTTCTGCAGCAATATTCCCATCATCTATCATATAGTGTTGTTGATTACCCTCTTCTGCAAAGAGAGACTTCAGACCATATGAGGAGTCCATTCCATCTGAAGAGCCTCGCTCAGCATTAATTTCAATTTGAAGCATACTTCCGTGCTCAGCAGCATCCTCTACATGAAAATTTGAGGCCAGTGGACTCTCTCCCTTAACAGTGCTGAGGTTTTTGCACAAATCATCACCTTGATTGCTTTTTTCAGAAGCAGCATCACTGTGGACTTCTGGACATTTATCTGGTATATGTGGGGAAAATAGCAAATCTATATTAAGCAGCTATGCAACACTAGTGTTGCCACAGTATGTAATGCACAAAAAAAAAGGTTTATCAGTTACCAACCAGCTTCTTTATATCCATTACTGCACTGATGATAATTTACATCTGATCCAAAGGCTGTTTCAAAATGCAAGAGAACATATCTTAGAAAGTAACTAAATGCAGAACAAGTAGCAATGGGTTACTGGATGGAGACAATATCAATTGGAAAATTCACTATCAACAAATCAATACTCTCTCCATTCCAAATTGATCTACATATTTCATAGGTACACCAAGACCAAAAAAAGCTAATAACTCTCTCATACTATATTTACTCTAGCAACAAACTTGATGCATGCACCATCTCCAATATTTCCTAGCCAATTGCAAATCAAGATATTGCATGTAGGTTATAAATACTTGTGTGCATGGATGCATGCATCAATATCCATTTACTCCAATGCATAAATAACGAATAGACTTAATAAATGAACACAAATATGTAGATCATTTAGGAATAACCTCAAAAAAACTATATGTAGATCAATTTGGAATGGAGTGAGTAAATAATTGGATGTAGTTACAAATCCATGATCAAGCAGAATGAAAACTACTCTCGATTATCCAAGAATTTTTTTAAGTGTTTCATGCTCTTTGGGAAGTTCCATTTTCCCATCATGTATCCTAACTTTTGGCCAAACTCTTCCTATGATGATGCGCTTAACCTCTGATCAAAAACTTTCGTATTTCACACTGAACTTGTGGGTTCATGTATTTCTAATAATTGGTAATAGTCGGTATTCAATTGAGTCCATAGGTTTCTGAAATAGTGTAAAGGAACAAGAAGTGCTAGCATAGTGTGTGTAATGGCTAAATCTTATAAATTAAGGAACTTATGTGAATTAATGCATGTCCTCACATCATGAATATCATTTCGACATGATAAATCGTATTCTACAGCTGCTACAGTGGTGTCATGAAACTGTTGTGAAGCAACATCAGTGAAACCACCTAGGATTGAAGCAAGATTCACATTAGCTTGTCCTGTTACAAACCCCTAATGAAATCAAAAGAAAAACAAGAAAAGTACCTTCTTCAGCTTGTTTTCCTCTCTCATCATTCACAGTAGGTAAATAATTTAATTCGAACTCAAGAGCTTTGAATGAACCATTATCTGTTTCATTTCCAGGTGAACCAGAATCAAATAAAGATAGAGAAGCATCACCATTCTTCATGCAAGTCCTCTCAAAGTCGTGCTCAGCCAGAGTGCCATGCTCCAAGACAGTAGCCACAGCGCACGATAGAACTTCTGCAACAGTCATTGATTTAGAAGCTACAATGCCATCACCAGACAAAGCAATATCCACATTTTGAATGTCATCGGTACCCTTCACAGCAGTCCAGTTCGCAATATTACAAGCATTGGAGTCATTTACAATAACTAGTGCATCAGCATCACTAGTACAAGGCGGTAACTGATCGACACTCGAGAGTTTAGACAAGGCCCCAAGGAGTTGCTCTGGTAAAGTAATGATCTCATTTTTATCTGTGTGATCTTCAGCATCTAAAAGGGGTAAAGCAGTGGCAGAACTAAGTTCTTCTGCAATAGCTGCTGGATTATCTAAATCTTCCAAAACCTCTTCATTGGAATTGGCATTCAAAGTTTGTGCGACAGCAGCACCCAAATCAGCCTCAGCATCATCCAGCAATACTTTGTTCTCTGATGAAATACCAGCACGTGAAACTAGTTCTGTGATACTTGATGATTGGCCCAACTCCTCGGAACTTATTCCAGATAAATGGATAATACTTTCAGTTCTAAGGTCAACATATTCATGTGCAGTATCACTAGAATCTGACCCATGTACTTCTGAATTCACCCACTGCTCTCTGTGAGTCTCTTCTACAGTGGCATTATCCCGATTAACTTCTTGGGTGCTGGCACTGGAATCATTGCAATATTCATGACAACCTTCATTTCCATCCTGTGTTGATTCCCTAACAACCATATCATCAGCATCAGCATTTGACTCTTCGAAAGAGATAATTTCTTGCAAAGCATCTGTCGTACTCTCCTTTGCACAAGGTCCTTCTGAAGCTGGAGTTTGTACCTTCTGTTGCTTCCTGGATTTTTGCCTGTCAGAAACTTTTGTATTATTACCGGATGAACATGACATTTCCATTGAAGTTCTTCTCCGTTTTCCCAATTTAAAGCCACCCCCATTACTTCTAACAGGTTTCTTTGCTTCCAGCTGTTTCGCCACAGCTACACCTACAACAGTTCTGACCAATTCATCATGGTACTTGTTCTCACTATTGGGCATATTTGGAACAACAGATTTCCGCGTTGATCTCCTGACATGTACTTCAGGATTCGTTTCTGCTGCAAGACCCTTTGTCTCTCTGTCAAACATTATTGGCACAACAGATTTTCGTGTTGTCCTTCTAGCAGGTTCCTTTATTGCTAGTTTCTTCCCAGGATCGTTGCCCTTAGAGTGCTTATGTTCCTCATCCCTGACCATCTCACAGTCATCCATCTTCTCATCATTGAGCATATTAGGAAGAAAAGATTTACGCTTTGATCTCCTAATATGTGCTTCAGGCATCATTTCTGTAGTTAGTCCATTACTCTCTTTGTCAAGCATAGCGGAGACAACAGATTTCCGAGTTGATCGCCTAACAGGTCTATTTTCTGTTGGTTGCTTCACCAGGACATCTCCTCTAACACTTCCATGCATACACTTGGTTCCTTCCTCAAGCAAGGTAGAAACAACAGATTTCCGCCTAGATCTTTTCAAAGGCTCAATTACTTCTTGCTGCATTTCTGTAGGTAAAGCTTCACCACTGCTCTCGGAGAGTGAAACTTTGCCAACACTTTTAGCTATCTTATCCCTGCCCCTTCCTGTTTTCCTCTTTGTCAAACCAGCGTTCTCATCTTTCCTGACCACAACATTTTTCATGCTAGTCTTAGCAGCATTGTGCATCAATGGCTGGGCTGTTTTCAGGCCCTTGGCATCTGTCTGTGCTCTACTCACATTGTTGCTTTCTGAAATTGAATTAATTAACAACAATTCATTAGCCACAGATTGTCGTCTGCTCGACCGCCTCAATTTTGGGCCAATACTGGGATCATGAACCATTTGCTCATCTTCTTCCTCAACAAAAGCAGAAGTTTGATACTGAGTAGATGGTCGACAGGACAGACTCTTATTTTCCAGCTTCTTGCAGACCTCGGTCTCCATCATCACATTGTCTTTAACCTGAACAACCCTATTCCTCAAAGATCTGGTACTAGGAGCCACATTTGCTTGCACCACTGGAACTGTTGGAGGCTCAACATCCAAGTGAATATGTTCTTTCTTCTGTCTTTTGTTCTCGAGGACAATGGGTGACGCGATATCAGTTACAACTGAACTTGATCTTGTGCTTCTGGTAGATACATTCACCTTAGCAGCCTTCTCCACAATAGGATCCTCTGCCTTCCTCCTGCTTCTCCTGCAGTCAACAACAGGAGGTGACACCGTAGTGACACTTGTCGACCCTGACCTGAGCTTTCTGCCATCATCTTGAACTTCAGCACAATGTTCCTGAACCTCAAGACAAATCTGCTCATTCACATCTCCTTTCCTCTTCCTCCCTCTCTTCTTCTCAACAACAGGAGACTGCACGACAGTGACCGCCGTCAGGAGACAACTCGACCTCGTGCTTCTAACAGAAACTCCATCCTGCACACTGACAGTAATCTCCTCACCAACATCCCCAGCCACCTGCTTCTGCTTCTGCCTCTGCTTCCGCTTGTTGTCAACTGCTTCTCCTTCCTTCGCCCCATCTCCTTCAGCACCATCAGCATCACTCGAATTCACCGCATTTCTCCTAGACCGCCTCCGTGGGGCTTCTGCGGCAGGCTCTCCTTCAGCAGCAGCATCACCACCAACACGAGCACCCCTGCGTTGCTTCCCCCCTCCTCCACTTCCTGCTTCTGAATCAGTAACCACCTCCCCGGCCTTCTGCCTCCCCCTTGTCTTCGCGGCAACTGGCGACCACATCACCCGGGGCCTCCGTCCCCTCCTCCCCCTCCCCCTTGTTTCCATCACCTCCTCCTCTTCCTCCAAAGCAAATGTCACCGTCTTGGCCGCACCAAAACCCTCGCTACCGCCGCCCGACCGCTTCATGCATCCCTTCCCCACCACCACCCCGACCGCCTTCTCCTCCGTCGCGGCACCCTACACAAATCCAAAACAGAAAAAAACAACGATCAGCATCCTCCACCATCTCCATTTCTCCGAACTCGGAGAGCGCATTTCCGCAACCCACTAGCCACTCCACGAAACTAGAACTCGAGATCGAAAGCGAGGGCACGATGGTTGGATGGGTGGGTGGGTGGGAGTCCGTACCGAGAGGGTCGCGGCGAGGCGGGCGACGAGGGCGGCGTTGGAGCCGCCGGCGGAGAGGCCGTGGCGCTTGCAGAGCGCCTGCAGCTCCCGCCGCTTCATCGACTCGAAGTCCATCTCCATCCCTCCTCCTCCTCCCCCCCTTACCGCCGCCGCCGCCGCCGGAGATCAGCACGGTCCGGCGAGATCGTCGGCCATCCGCCGCGCCGGGGTTCGCGAAATTTTGGAATTCTCCGCGGGTTTTTTTTTTTTGTGGATTGCTTTTGTGGCGTTTGAGATTTGAACTGTTGCGCGGGCGCGTGTTGTGAACGTGCCGCGGGTTGGAGAGTGGAGACTGACCGGTGCGCCCGGGGAGCGGGGCGTTGCGCGTGGGGACCACGTGGCAGTGGGAGCGGGGGCGGTGGCTTCCTGGGGAAGGAGGGTCGCTTTGAATTTTCGGGTTTCGCGCCCAGTACGGCGACGTGGGGGAAGAGCTGGATTAATGGATAAGGTATTTAGACTGACATAAGGGGTCCAGTAGCCGAATGCCAAATGTTGGTCCCACATGTCAGTGGGGGAGCTCTTCGGTACCCGTGTAAGACCGTGGGCCCCACCATAGGCGGCTAAATGCTTCGCGTACTCTCATTCGAAGTAGAGGAGCGGTTCGTGTGCCCATGCACAATACTCTAACACCTATTTTATTTTTTGTTTTTTCAAAAGTCTAAATTCTATTTATAATTATCATGTGCTAAATTAAATTATTGATTTGAACCTAAAAAAGTCATTTTAGTACTTATTGGTTGTATGTTCGGTGGTGTTATTACATTGTGAATGAATTAGTTGCTCCATAATCTTGGTGAAAGAAAAAATAGGTCTTAGTTAGATTTTTGGATGGAGGGAGTACACCACAAAGGATTTTTTTTGGTGCTGTTTTGTGAAACTTTGTGTCAAAAAATTGTTAAAAATCATTTTTGCAACGTGTTTTTGAATTCTTAATTTTCATTTATGATATATAACAAATTATTTGTTCCATCAATTGATGTTTTAATACTTCACTTCGTACCCAAAAGATAACAGTGTGGCTGAGTGGTAAACCAATGAAAATTAGTATTAAGCCGGATCCCAGCATTCACAGGCAATAAGTCATTTATCTTTTTTCTTATTTCATAGGAAAAATGTAGGATTCATGATTTGGCACTGTAGCAGCATTTGATTCACAGGATTTGGGCATAGGAAAGTTAGAGGAAATTTTCCTTTGGAGCTCATTTCACAGGGAAAACCATAGGAAAGGAAAACATCCACCCTAAACTTCTTTTTTTCCATCATGTGAGCGTAGGATCGATTTAGTAAATGACAAACCTATGCATCATTGTTGTTCTTTTAGAGGAAAATGGGCATTGTGATGTTCTAGATAATATCAAAGTGATATGTATTAATATATACTACCTCCATTTTTTAATAGATGACGTTGTTGACTTTTTCTCACATGTTTGACCATTCGTCTTATTCAAAAAATTTATATAATTATACTTTATTTTCTTATGAGTTGTTTTATCACTCATAGTACTTTAAGTGTGATTTATATCTTATATATTTGCATAAAATTTTTGAATAAGACGAATGGTCAAACGTGTGAGAAAAAGTCAACGGCGTCATCTATTAAAAAATAGAGGGAGTAGTACTTCCTAACATTCTCTTTCATGTGAAATTCTTATATACCCTTTCGAACGATTAGTAGCACAAATTTCCTAGGTTTTGTAATTCATTCCTACATGATTCCTATATTTTTTCTATTCCTGTGTTTTTATGTCATACATTTCAAAGGAGCCCTAAGGCTGAGTTTGATTCAGCTACTTGTCTAAGCTATTTCCTTTATTTGTAGGCTCTTTTTCTTCTAAATTGTTAAACTGTGCATTTTGTGTAAAAACTTTATATATTGAAGTTTCTTCAAAAAAAATAATGAAATAAATCTATTTTGTAAGTTTGTAATAGTTAATTAATCACTCGTTTGTGTAAAATTCCGACCACCTGAACCGCATTGCCCAATTCATCCGATGGGCGAATCCACTTGCACATACCACCTCACTTAACTTTTATCTCCACTTTATGTAAAATGATTAACTGAAAGGTCCTTATGATTTGATTCTATCCTTACAAAACTAGCAATGTGATATTAAATATTCACGCATAGTTCTCACGAGCCGCACATGAGCCATCCAAATTAGCCCAGATATCACAACTAATGACCCGTCTTGTTTTACGTGAAACAAAATAGCCTAGGCAAACCAGAGGTTTCAGACGGACCTTAGCACTATGGCCTTTTTTTTTTTTTTTGAGAATTACACAGCACAACACAGTTCTACAATATTTATAACATAATATTACACTGCTTATTGCCTACTGAAATATTTTTTAGCACATTTTGGATGCCCTTACTCAAACATCTTCTCATCCTGATCTTGCCATTAACTACCCTCTCAGCAGTCAACCCTAACCATCTCTAATTCAATAAGGGCATCGAAGTTTTTTTAATCAACCCTAAATCTTTGCTAAACAATCTAAAAATGGTTGTACTAGGCTTTACTGAACTTAGACTCCTCTTTTTCATATTCAAATGGAGGGAGTATTATGTATTAGGAACCTATGTAAAATGTTGGTGAATCCATTGGTCTGTATTCGCTAGTCCCTTCCATACTTCCATTCACCGATGAAGCTAACATTCATTTCAACAGCCATTCGGCAGATGGCGTTTTCATGAACACACGCCACAAAGATATATCGAACTACTTACGCAGTAGACTCTACATCAAAGCTTTGTATGGTTCACGCCAAAATTGAAAGTTTGGTTGAAATTGAAATGATGTGACGGAAAAGCTGAAAGTTTGTGTGTGCAGGAAAGTTTTGATGTGATGAAAAAGTTGGAAGTTTGAAAAAAAAACTTTGAAACTAAACACGGTGCAAAAAAATGAACTTAAGTCTTGATTCAATAAATTTGCTAAACTCAGCTGGCTCAACTTTGGTTGTTGTCTTGTGCTGTGTTGCGCTTATTTAAGTTGCTGCAAAAATAAAAAAAATAATGTTACAGATATTTTACATATCAAACTAAGTTTAAACATAATGTGTTATCCCGTTGTTGCATTCCTCCTATTAGTTATATTTTTCAAATTATGATGCTATTATTACCATTTGAAACAAAAATAAAAAAAATAATGAGAGAATAGCTACCTTAGTCCCTAAAGTTTCTCTGTAAGATCAGTTTAATCCCTAACCTTTTAAATAGTCCAAAAAAATTCTTAAACTTTATCATAAGGCCTAGAATAGTCCTTGGGTCCACCAAAATCATCATATGGATATGCTATGTCATTGTTCATGCAAAATCTATGATGAATTGTCCAATTTACCCTTACGTATATCATAGAAAAATAAATATAAGGGTGAATTAGACATAACTAATATAAGGGTGACTTGTTTGAACAATATGAAAGATTAAAGACTAAAATGACTTAGGAGCGAAACTTTAGGACCATATTGACTATTCTCCTAAAAATAATTTACCTAATGTTGAAGCTATGAACCAAACGGAATTATCATAATCACTTCAGACCATATTCACTAGTTCATTCCTTGCATTACTTGGCGGATTCACCATCCAATGACTTCAAGGAAGCAGATCCTTTGATTCAATTGCATCGTTGGCATGTGGATCCCAATTTACTAGCAAAGCAGAGTAATTAGGACCAACGTTAACATAAAAAAAAAACTAGCCCATGCTACATTAATCGATCATGATAGTTTTATTCTAGTAAATAAGGGCATGTTTGGCAAAGCTCCAGCTCTAGAGAGGTGGAGCTCATGCAAACAGCTCATGCAAACAGTTTTAGCTCCACCTAAAATGGGAGTGTAACTGAGTGGATCTCTCTCATAAAATGAACTAGAGAGGTTGAGCTGGGTTTAGATAGCTCCACAACTCCAGTCCAAACCCAACTCCTTAAGTTAAATTTAGGAGTTAGAACTGTACCAAACAGACCCTAACAGTTAGCTTGTATCAATTTTGTCTGCATAAAACATAAATAGTTTATATAGTTGTATGGAATTTATGTATGTTTGTTTTCTCGCTAGGTTTGCTCATGATATGCCAAATATACACCTGATAAGTTGGGAACCGAGTGCAGCCATCGATCCACATTTGGTTTGCAAATATGCCGTCCATCATATCATTGCAGCAAATTATCTACTCCATGTATCTGAAGATATGTTTTCTAAAAAAAAACTTCTTGCATTACTTAAGCCAATTGTTCTAAACTATTTTAAAAGTTTACTTCACAGAATATTTAATTTAGGCCTGGTTTAGTTCCTAACTTTTTCTTCAAACTTTCAACTTTTCCATCACATCAAAATTTTACTACACACAAACTTCCAATTTTTCCGTCACATCGTTCCAATTTTAATCAAACTTCCAATTTTGGTGTGAACTAAACACACCCTTATTCTCATGATGATGTAGATAACCCAAGACAATAATCCAGTCAATAATCTATATCCACTAGTGCGGAACAACTCATCTATGTCGGCGAGAGGCTTCTTCACGAACTAATGGTCAGTGACGCTTAATCTCTTAAGCAAACCTAATCTCCATCAGGCAACAAAAAAAATATGGCATAGCTCTGATATTTGAAGTAATTTCTCAAGGCAAAATGTCTGATATGATGTCCTTTTCCCCCGATAATGTTCCACACTTCAACTTAAAAACAGGACTTCAGTAACTAATATATGGCCGGTGAACTATTGAGAAGTTTCTGATACAGCTTCAAAAAACAGTACTTCCTCCGTTTTAAAATGTAAGAAAACTTTCTAGCATTACCTATATTAATGTGTGTGTGTCTATATATATATATATATATATATAGTCTTACATTAATTAGCAACTCTGATGTTTGGTATCAATGTTCAACCACAGAAAAGAGAAAAGTCCTCCAGTGGCTATTGAGAAGTTTCAACTTTCAATGCACTACTGACTACTACTCTGATCTCAGTTTCACACAAAGATTTTGCCAAATAGATGCCAGAAATAATTTGCCAGGACAATGTACTGATTAAGCTAACCAACAGATAAATTTAGCTCGAATTAGTTGTTAATTGTTACTATCAGTTAGGAGTACTACACAGGTACATCTTGTCCGATTGTCCCCAAAAACAAAAACTGAAGATCTAGCTAGATAAACTTGATCGAGACAGATCTCATTACCTGGGACTTGTACTTGTCCTAAACCGCACCGACCTTTGCTGCAGTTTTGCACGATCTTACATTTAGACAAGAGCAATGCAACACTTGATCTTTTCTAACGAGCAAAATCACCAAACCAAAATGCCCATTTGCTAATTAATCAGTTTGCTTGTGCAGCTAGCAGGAGGCATCCCCCGGCGGATTCCCAGCCAGCCTCTGGCTTCTCTGCCTCACCTCCATCCCGGCATCCGCCGCCGCCGCCGCCACCGCCGCCGCCTCTTCCTCCTCTAGAATAAACTTCACCTTCTTCGTCGGCCCAGATCCCCCGCCGCCACCGGGCCGCTTCAAGCAGCCCTTCCCACCCCACCTCGCCGCGGTCATCTCCGCCGCCGCCGCCGCATCACCACGCCCCTGCATTGCATTGGATCAAACGCATGCAGCTAGCTAGCGAGCGCGTAAGAATCAATGGAGGAGCGAGTCGGAGGAGGGGTGGTGGTTCGATCGGTGCTCTAAGCCGCTGCGAGCGCGTGCGTACCGGGAGGATGACGAGAGCGGCGAGGCGGTCGGCGAGGTCGGCGCTGGAGCCACCGGTGGGGAGGCCGTGGACCCTGCACAGCGCCTGGAGCTCCCGTAGCATCGCCGTCGTCGCCGAGCGCGTGATTTGATTGCCGCCGGAGTTGAGCGCGAGAAGATGATATGCCGTTGGATTTTGATGAGAGGGGGTAGTAGGCATGCCTTTATTGTTAGCCAAGGCTTCTGGGAGAAGGAAACCAAGCCATACAGTAGGACTATACGGACATGGGCTCATTAGTTCCCGAACGAAAATTCTTGGCGTTTCACGTTGGATATACGGATATATATTTAAAGTATTAAATATAGACTTATAATAAAATAAATTATAGATTTCGCCTAGAAACTGTAAGAAGAATTTATTAAGCCTAATTAATCCGCCATTAGCAAATGTTTACTGTAACATTACATTATCAAATCATGACACAATTAGACTTAAAAGATTCGTCTCGCAATTTACACGCAATATGTGTAATTAGTTTTTTTTCTATATTTAATACTCCATGCATATGTCCAAACATTCAATGTTACAGAGGCTGTGTTTAGTTCCACACTAAAATTAGAAGTTTGAAGAAATTGAAACGATGTAACGGAAAAGTTGGAAGTTTGTGTGTGTATGAATGGTTGTGGCCGAGTTTAGTTCCAAAATTTTTCTTCAAACTTCCAACTTTTCCATCACATCAAAACTTTCCTACACACACAAACTTCCAAGTTTTCCGTCATATCATTCCAATTTCAACCAAACTTCCAATTTTAGTGAAGTGAACTAAACACAGGGTGTGTTTAGTGAAGTTTGGTTGAAATTGGAACGATGTGATAGAAAAGTTTCAAGTTTGTGTGTGTAGGAAAGTTTTGATGTGATAGAAAAGTTAGAAGTTTGAAGAAAAATTTTGAAACTAAACTCGACCAAAGTTCGATGTGACAAAAAATTAAGAATTTGAAGAAAAAAGTTATAATCTAAACATGGCAGGGTGAAATTTTTTTCTTTGGGTACTAAACAGGCCCATATATAGGCTACCAATATCCCAGAAAATGTTTAATAGGCTTCCCTGACGTCATGTCAAATAATGTTTTTCTTTATTTGGACCATCATTTATTACTAATGTTTTTCTTTAGATTACCTTTTTAATCAATGTTTTCGTTTTGAATAAGGTAATTCTGCTTCTGTAACTTTTTGGTACTTTGTATCGTTCTCCACTTTTTTATTCATCTACATCCAATTTTTATATGTCTAAAAAATATTGTACATTTAGTTGTGCAAGTTTATTAATATTAATAAGAGGATTGCTAGAGCACGGGATTCCGTTCTAACGGGATACTTTATAAATCTAATCCCCCACCTACCGTCTTCCCCATGTTAGAGCTCCCACGTTGCAAATAAACAATCAGTGTAGCTCCTTGCTCCCACCAGTCATAGCAACATCAGAGGAATGATGAAGGCAGCGATGAGAGGAAGGGAGAAGAGAAGATGAGACAATGACAGATTGACGGGGACTTGCCAGTAAGGCAGACAATGACATCGCGCTCTCCTTTCCCATGACTTGACCCGGTACTTCATAACATAGGTAACAGACCCGATACCTAAATACTATGCGCATGGTAACTGAGCGTACCAACTGGTACATGAGGTACCAGGCAGGCTACCCCAAGGTACTAGACCAGACCATACCCTGGTATGGTACCTGGGTACCATGTATGATACCCAACGTATAAGACCCCGAGTATCAACCCCCTAATACCTAAGGTATCAGTTTGCGACGTACCTGTGCACAGCACCGGCGAGTAGAAGTGATGGGTTGGCAAGGAGCAAGAAGAAACCCAACTCCAAGGTAGCCATCTACATCGAGACTAGCCGTCTCCACCCTCCTATCGACGCTAAGGACCTCATCCCCCTCGGCCTCACCGCCTCCCTTTCCTTCTGCTCACACATGACAACCCCCAACCTCGCTTCCATAGTTGGCTCCCTCCTTTGCTCTAACCCCCATGCCCTTGCCAACCTCCGCTATCTTATGTGCTCCTGATCCAGTGTATGAAGGGAGAAAAGATGATAGAGGATGTCGTCGGTATTGGAGACGATGGTCAAGGAGTTGAGGAGAGGGAGGAGGAAGACAAAGTGCTCCTGCTCGGTGGGGGAAACATATCTAGGGGAAACGGATCTAGAAGATATGTAAAGTTCACCCTGTTTTATCCCAATGCCTTCGTGCCCCTGACAGGATTCCGTGTATTAGTTTTTCTGTAATAAGTAAGAGCCATACTTGAGTTTGTTGATATGCTTGAGAAAAAAGTTGGGGTGATCCAAAGTGAAAGAAAAGAAAGATTACTTGACCTAAAGGAAAATATTGTCTGAAGGGTGATTTAAAGCGAAACACGGTTAGTAATAATGTGGTCAAAAAAGTTTAATTGAACAATTAATACTCTTAACACCTTTTGAGTATAATATTTTATCACTACTATATCCGTCCCATTTTATGTGCAGTTGTGGATTTCCGTGTCCAATGTTTGACCGTCCGTCTTATTTTTTAATATAATATATTTTTTAAAAAATATTAGTCACATATAAAGTACTATTCATGTTTTATCCTCTAATAACATTAAAAATACTAATCATAAAAATTTTTAAATACATAAACTGTACAAAAATGCGGCCATTCTGGGATGGAGGTAGTAGTTAAATATGATGTTGGGGTTATGCTTATTATTGTGCTCAAGCATCGCTTGTTGAAAATACAGGCCATTTCTCTTTTTCCTCTACATCCATATCAGAAAATAATTAGGTCAAAGCATTGTTTAAACAATAAGCTTACCAGACACGGTACTTGGCGCAGGGTTTACAAAACCGTGCGGTTACCATGGTTGTCACGTACGGTAACCTTTTTAGTTTTTGGAACCACAGTATATCTCGCGATAACCATCAAACCGTTGGGCGGCGGAAACCGTATCCCATACAGTTTGGTAAATCCTGGCTTGGCATATCTCTTCTTGCTCAAAGACGGTTTTCTCTTCTTTTTTGTTTTTGACACCCGTTTGGGTTTTTAATTGAAATATAATTTAATAGTTTTCCTGCTGGTTTAAGTTGAAAAAAACAGACACAGTTTACATATGAGATTTGAAGACAACATTTAAATGGCAAAATAGGATGTACTCATTGAGAAGACAACTCATTTGTCTATTTCCTACTCCCTCTATCAAAAAAAAAAACTCAACCTTGGTGAGGACTAGGCATCATGTAGGACAATAAATTTGGACAACCCTCTGTCCAGATTCGTTTGCCTAGGTAATATTCTATCCTCACCAATGTTGAGTTTTTTCTTGGACGGAGGGAGTATATGTCATTCTTGTCAGAGAGCAACGAGGGTGAGGCACCCTTTGAATGTGAGGTTGGACGTTGAGTACTTATGTCGGGTCATTACCTTAAGGGTTTCGCATGATTGGGAAAAAAGAAGGAATAGAAAAAACACAGAATTCTAACATGAATATAAATTTAAAACAAAAGATTGCAAAGCATAGGAAAACACAGGAATAGCCATTTGATTGGACCACATGAAAAACACAGGAATCGGTTGAGATAGATAGACTCGAATAAAATTTTCCAAGAGGTTGGAACTATTGCTAAGTTTCCTCCAAAATTTACGTGCAATGAGCCATTCCGTAGGAATTTTTTAGGACTTGAAAAGCTTTAATCCTTTGAATCAAATGACCACATAAGAAAATTTCCTATACGATTTGAATCTTATGAAATTCCTACATAAAATTCTTTGATTCAAAGGAGCCATAAAATTAGATTTATTTGAACTTTTACCAGTGTCTAAGATCAGGATGATAGGAACGGTGTCCACGATCGTTTAAGATGGTCGGTAATTCATATAAAGATTAATAATTCAATAAAAATGACCTATAGTTAAATTTAGAGTAAATTTCACTTTGGGCCATATTTTATTACCGACATTTCACTTTGGACACTCTTTAACCAATGATTTCACTTTAGATAGGGTAATCTTGCCTCTGTTTCACTTTGTACACCGGACTCTCTTCTCAACCATATGAAGGATCTCGGTTACATCGGCTCATACTAGTCAATTAACTCTAAGAGCTATATGTAAAACCATTTTCTTGGCATATGATAAAGTTGGATGTAGATGAATAAAATATTTGAAGGTAATCCATAGTGCCACAAAGGTAAAAATACCCGTCCAAAGTAAAAACATTAGTTAAAGGGCGGTATACAACAAAACATCGGTAATAAAAAGTGGCTCAAAGTGAAATTTACAAAGGTATAAAATAGAGTGTACAGGAGTACATAAGTATCATTAATAACTACTATCCACTCCTTTACTCCCAACTTAAATAATTATAGAGTTGAAGTATCTAGGCCCCTGGTGTTAATTTTGGTAATTAATGACAAGCGCTAATTGTGGACTAACCGTTGTCTTTGAGCTATACATTTTAAGTTAGGTCCACGTCATATCTGCGCATGGATGATTATCGATGGATTAAAATTGACGGCGCAAAGCAAAGGGAAAGAAGATGGTAAAACTAGCGCTTTAATTTAGAATTGATCGAGGTGTAGGGCAATCAAATTTGCTAGTTTATTTTTAGTTTCGCCGTACTATTAAGAGGGGTAATGACCTAGCAAAGAGATGATTTTAATTGCCACATTAGGTCATTATGCATTTAGACTTCTGCTCACATTTCACACACACACACACACACACACTTCACTGGGTTCGGCCTGACCAGGGGCGGTCAGACCGGCCACATAGTGGCGGTCTGACCGGCGTGCCCTGGCCAGTCTGACCGGCCCCAAGCGGGCGGTCTGACCGGCGCATAAGGCCGGTCTGACCGGTGGCACATGTGCGGTCAGACCGGCCCCCTGGAGGCCGAGATGATGCTGTTCGGGGTGGCCGATACAGAGCCGACGGAGCCATAGTCGGTCAGACCGAGGCCGGTCTGACCGCCCACTCAACGCTGGTCTGACCGGCCAGGCCGATGGGGCCCTCTGACAGCACTTCAACGGCTAGTTTTCTAGCCGCTGCAGAGTAGCACGGTCTGATCGGCCACATACCTCCGGTCAGACCGGCAGAGCACAAAGTTGGGGGATTTCGCCCCCAACGGCTAGTTTTGGTGGGTGAGAGTATAAATACTCCCCCACCAGCAGCAAGGGGAC